TAATATTAATTATTTTACATGTATTTATCTACTATTCTTATTATACATTTTTAATCACTTTTAATCCAATTTTTTAAAAAAATATATACAATTAAAAATTTTCTTTTTTTTCTTTAGATTAATATTGTAATATTTTATATATATATAATTAATAAAATATATATAATTAATATATTTTTAGTAACATTTAAATATAATACTTGTTTCTCTAATACCATATAATATGGAATCTTGCAGCATTTCCACCATTACCAGAATCATTTAATGAAGAAAACAGACTTGCACAACTGGAACGTATGAAATTACTTCAAGTCAATCCTATTGCTGGAATTAGTTCAAAAAATTAGTTCAAAAAAATGTTTTTAAAGCATAGCAAAAAGTACAGTCTACTATACATTAACAGTTCTTTAATATAAACTTCTATAAGGTTAGTAAGAAAGAACTTTAATAAATTGAACATCTCTCTTGAGATATAAAATAATTTTATTATGTAATTTTTGTGTCTATTCTGTATAAACCATAAATATAATATTATTGTTCATATATATATTTTTGCTTGTATCAATTTACTTAAAACCTCAGAATATCTATCCAAATAAATGTCCTAAAACAATGTCATTTATAGCAGACAATATAATATTTTGTATAGATATTACACTTTTACAATTATTGTTTTAAAAAATTATTATTTTATTATAATAGTAATATAATTATATATATATTCAGTTATTCTATTTTTATTTTTTTTTCATTTTAAAATTGTTATTTTTATAAGATTATTTTTTTGTATAAACATAAACTTGAATATATATATCCAAAAAGGAAAGGAAAGAAAGGAAAAAAGAATTCTATGAAATATTATGGTTATATAACTCTTATTATTTGAACTAATTGAAAATTAGTTTACACAAAAAAATATCTATTGTAATCTATTGTAAATAATAAATTTTAATGTAAAAACATATATAATAAAATATATTTTCATTTTTGATCTTACAGATAGAAAGCAGAAGGAAATATACCGCTATATGTGTATGTATTAATTTTTTTTAAATCAAACATTTTTCGCATTTTTTTAAATATAAAAATGAAAAAAATAGTGAAACAATTTAATTATATCATAAATTACAAATTTGAAAAATAAAATTTAAGTTATTTCTTTATGTTTTAAAATTTTAATTTTTATTAATTTTTATTATTATTTTATATATATTTTATATATATATATAAAAAATATATATATATATATATATTAAAATTATGACATATATTTCTCTAATTCTT